TATATATATGTTTATTTTTTGAGAAATAAATCGAAAAGTCTTAAAACATTTTTTTATAATGCTTAACGCGAGACAAAAATCATGAAATAAGATCCGTACACACACTCACACACATATATACACGTACAACGCCGTTATTTAGCAGGCATATCTTCGTCAACCGTGCGCCGGATAGTATATAGCCACATTATATTACTAATCGCGCGGATCACGGAAGTATATTCGTTTAACGAATGATATTGATTAATTGTAAGCGAATTTTATTTGATAATTCCGCTTTCATTAAGCATTGCAAAAAAAAAAATGGCGTAGGACTTTTCGACTTATTTTTCATTAAGGAATATTGCTCCATACTTACAATTATAGTAGAAGGGAATTAATTAATATCATATATAACATACACAAGATGTTTCGTATATCTTAATTGCCTGAAATATTTTTGTTGCTCTTGTTCGAGGGGACAATTATGATAACAGGAAAAATTTTTTCTTTAGATTTTTTTTTAAAAGGTCTAAAATTTTCAGGTTCAAGATTATTTTTTTAAATATAACTGTTTTTTTTTTTTTTTTTTTTTTTTTTAAGACCGTGCAAAGCTATGACAATATGAACATCAAATGATCTTGAATATAAAAATTAATGCTTTTAACATAAAAATTTATTTTAAAGTGTTTAAAGATGTTCAGATAATGTCCATCGACTTCAATACATTTTTAATTATTCCTAATGTGGTGGAATTACATGCTTTAAGATACAGCGTCAATCACAATATCTTTTTGCATGCAATTGTTATGTAATATCTGATGTACATAAATTCCTTTTGATATTTGTAAACAGCGTATCAACGTTCCTTCTGTAAACATGCAAGAACGAATTCTTCAAGCATATAATTCTATCACAGAAATGGAAAGTAAAAAGATCATTTATTTTTCGTATTCAAAAATGTATGAAGTCGATGGATATTATTTTGAATATCTTTTAAAATAAACTTTTGTGTTGAAAGGCATAAATTTTTGACTGTTTCGTTTTCCTTGAATATATGTTATCTCCATATTCGAGATCATCTGAAATCATATTATCATAAATTGCTGGACTCCTTTCGATGTTCGCTATAAGGTGACGTAAATAAAAACGTATGGCTCTATTTAAAAAAAACTAATCTTGATCTTGAAATTTCATTTTTAAGCAAACCTCAAGGAAAAAAAATAATTTTTATATCATCATAATTGCCTTCTTGAATAGTGCAACTTTTTCCTCAGACATTTTTTTCATAAAAAACAACAGAAATATTTCAGGTAGTCAAGGATATATAAATATTAAACACCTCCTGTATGTGTATATAATATATATATATATATATATATATATATTTAGATTGATCATTTTTATTTTATTAATATAACATATTATAAAGATTTATTAGTTTTGATATTCGTATTAATAATTTTATTATTTTATCAATTAATTTTTGTTAAGTATGAGTATATACTTAATTTTACACACATCATATATAATTCATGTTATACACAATCGTGCAAGAGTCACGTTTAATAACTCTGGAATAAAAGCAAAAATAAGAGATGGACATGCGCACATATATAAAACACACATATATCAAAATTAATATTTGCAGTATTGAGGAAGAAACTTTATTTCAATAAAATATATACTCGAGATATTTGATCGAAATCGTATTTGCGATTGCGATCGACTCGAAAAAGATTTCTCGCAAGCATTCTTTGCGCTATAATACTCAAATATGTTGACGTCATGCTTCAATAGCATGTTGACTGATACTGCGCGCTTATCGGCGCCTCGTTTCTTTGTGTTTAAATCACACAATTTTAATTTATGGTCGATAAACACTCTGACTCTTAATGAGAAGATCGTAGGTACCGCGTTTGTTTTTTGGTCGCTGTAATCTCATCGCCGCACCGTTAGAAAAACAGTTGTAAGAAATTTTAATTGCCTTTTCTTGATTCTGATTTCCGTTGCTAATTTTCGCTAAGTAAATGCCGACATTATGCGATTTTATTGCACAGTAATTACTAATATAAAGACGTTTTCCATAGGGGATAGTGAGTTTATTGCTATTTCGATCTTTGAAAATTAATGATGTAACATTAATGTTCTTTAAATTGTCTCACGATTGCGGCTCTTATATTAAATATATAGATATTTTTAAATCACTTTTTTATTGTATAATTATACGTGCAATTAAACAACATTTTTATGCAGTTTGTCATGTTAAGTAAGATTGAAAATTTAATTTATTTGATGTTAAAGGTCAGTTTTCATCTTCTTACATAAACCATAGATATAAACATATTTTATAGATATATATATTTTTTGATTAAATTAAATTAATAAAATAAAATAAATTAAATTAAATTAAATATCGTTCTGTCAAACAAAAATCGTATTACTATTATTTGATTCATTTTTTTTTTTTTTACGAAATGAAAAAATAAAATCCTTCATCTTAGTTTCTTATTTTAATGCATATAATGCGAGTATTAAAAGCAATTGTTAAAAAATTACCTTTTTATTTTTCAATTAGAGATATCGTTTATTCTTTCAATAGCTCTTATATAGATTGCATATAAATCGGTAAAAAAAAGAATTAATTTTAATATTGGTTGAATTAAATTTTTCGGAAATTAATCTATCTTTATACGGATTTAAAAAAAGGATATCAAATGATGCATTTTATTGTGCTGAGCTCTTCTATCATGAGCATGTCATGCGACGCCTCAACAATCTTAACACGTCCATAATCACATTGATTTTTATGACACGCCCAAATCGACTCGTGTGCGTACAAATTGCGCGTATAAAACGCTCGTCTTGTTCATCCGCGAAATGGAATAAATTACCTTTAGTTCGACCTTGATCGTGCAAATCGCGCGATAGATGAATTCGCGCGTCGCAACACATCGCAGAAGCAGCAATTACGTCGTTAACGGATGCGAGTCGCATAGAATATAGATGATGATGATGGCATGGCTTGTGATATGGCCTTTCCTCCTGGATCGTTTGGTCGTTCGATCGATCGGTTATGCGCGAATCGACTAGGAGAGAAAGAAAACAGAAAAATACTCCGGCGACATTGCAAGGTTGGTGGATCGCGATGATGCAATTCATGACGAGACCTGCCGTCTTCTCGTGACTTGTAAATCCGTAATAGCTGCTTATATTTCTCAGTGTCAAACAGATACGCCTTACGAGAGCTGCGTCTCGCGAGAGTTTCGTTAGTATTCTTGATGACGATTTCAAAATACTGATCTGGCAAGGTAACATAACATTAATAATAAAAAATATTCAATGACGTTACTTATAATATTATATTTGACATGTTTTAATTGAATTTCCTTGTCGCTAAAAAATTCATGTGTACAAGGATATTTTAGGAAAATTATATGAATATATACAAAAATTTCATATTTTTGTGTATTTATTTTTGCAACAAAATTTATAAATAATTAGGTAAATATTTCAGAATAACTTGATATATTAACCGTAGGATTATGTATTAGAATTAAAAAATTCTCAGAAATTTATCTAAATAAATCATTGAACAGAGATAAAAATAATTAAAAAAAAAAAAAATAATAATTATGAATCAATTTCTGGTTGTTAATTGTCTTAATAATATGAAGGTACTTTAAATTTAAATCAAAATTTTTTTTATTATATAAGTTTATTTCTAAAAATAAATTACAAAAATTAAATTTACTTTTTTATACAGTCTTCTACACTTAAATGCAACATTTTCAATACTTAGGTAACTATAATAAGTGTTCTTCAGCGAGTTACGCAGATGACAAGTGTAATACTATGCTCAACACGGAGTACTTCAACTGTGACACAATGTCGCATTGCGCAGCACAATAAAAAATAAAACTCAATTACAACCGTGTAAAATCTTCCAGTATTACTAACATTTCAAAAAAATTTTCATGTTTAATATAATAATATGTTTATAATAATTAATATAATAATAACTATACTTATTTACCTTTTTATTTTTGCATAGCTAGTTTAGTTATTATTATATTGTAATAATATTTATTATAGATATATTTTAGATGAGCTTAATTTCACAAATTTAAATTATTAGGAATTACAATTCCTTTATATTTTTTGATTATTGCAATAGAGTGATCTCTTATACATTTTTTAGAAATATCTTTCTTTCTTTGTTTTATTAAAAAAAATATATACAAATATTTGAGATATTTAATTGAAAGCGCAGCACATAAATAAATTTCGATTTAAATTGGATTATCTTTGTATATAAACAGATCCGCGAATTTTTCGTGCCACATCTGTTTCAGGTGTCTCTCTCTGTGTGTGTGTGTGTGTGTGTGTGTGTGTATTTTTGTCCCATTTTGCATTTATTGGGGAAGAGGAAAGAGGAGAAGCGGTCGCCTCACACTCTTACTCTTCTGATTTCTCGCGCATTGTCCCTTTTTGGAATATTATCATTCTAGAAATCATATTATCTGACATATCACTATTCTTTAATCTTATCTTCACTTGTCACAGAGAAAAATGCTAACAATAAGGTTATTATATAAGTCTATATGTGCGGTTCGTACGATTCTTTTAGAGTCAGTAATGCCTTACAAAATTGAGTGGTTAAAAATTAAATAAGGCAGAGCACCGTCATCAATAGAAGCACAAGAAACAGCTTAAAGGTTTTATACAAATCTATTTAACTATAAACAATATTTCTCTTTTTCATTATAATATTCTATTTATAACTAAAAACTATCTTTATAATTCATATAATCTTGCAAATTTATTAGCTATCTTATAGCTACCTCGTATTTAGAAGTCGCTTAATTGCCAATATTATTTACATATCAATATTATTTGCATATTGTTTACGTAAAACGTATAAATACTTTTTTTTTTTACCGCATAAAGAAATATTAGTAATAAGATGTTTGTACTTCTTCTCAGCAGTTTCTTTGTTCGGTTATGAATTCTTAAACGAACTTCGAACTAATTTTTTCCTGGTTGGAGAATTTTATCAAAAGCCATTATTTATCACAATTTTAATTTTTCATATTTAAAGTCGAAACTAGAAAGATTTATATTAACTTAAATTTTATCCTGATATTAACAGTAATATGTATTGTTCTTATTCGTAGTTATAGCGATGAATTGATTAGGATAATTTGACGAGAAAAGAAAAAAAAGATTGGCTTCCAGAAGATAAAGAGCTTTGATTAATTTACAATTCTTGCAGATTTCTGTTTAGTTCATTATAACATTATGGGTACTTGTATAGAAATTTACAGCCTCTTTATCATACTCACTTTGTTTAACATCACTGGCGACAGATGAGTTATGGAAGAGTTAATGGCAAGAGATGTATGAGATAATTGTGAAAAATCTGAAAGGTCAGATAGAAAGCGGAAGTAGCAAATCCCGTAAAGGAAAGTGACGCTCATGAATGCCACGAGAGAATATGGCAAATAATCTTCACCTTGAATGAAACAATACTCGTCTTTTTTATAAAAGAGACGAGCTCTTTTTCTCTCTCGTTTTTCTCGCGCTCAGACCCTTATCTGCTGTTCTTTAAAAAGATCCGATTAAAGGCACTATCATCATTTGTTTTTTATTTGTTTATCTTTGTTTGTTCGTTTGTCCATCTGTCTGCTGATTTACGTCTCGGCAATGTCTTCCAGAACGTTTTCAGCACTTGGTTTTACAAATGTGTCTAAGTGTATAGTAATGTATCTAACATAATATTGACTAATCTGCATTTTAGACAGTTAATTCTGTACATTTGTTTTTTTTTTTTTTGTTTCAATTATCACGTTTTGGCTTTTATTTGCCATTTTATTCCTTTCCTTTAGTGTATTTATGTGACTATACACATATGTGTGTGTATGTGTGTATGTGTTTCTTAATTTACTCATTATTGTCGCAGTTCATTTATCTTTACATTTGTGGTCTCTGTGCTAAATAATACCAGTAATACTGGATATCTTATATTGTGATGGGATGTATATATATACTTACACTTTAATATGTATGTCACATTCTACTTTAAAATCACATGCCCTACATAACACGTTAATATCACTTTAATGTATCCGAAAGTGGTAAGAAAAGTTGATTATCGAAGTCAGGTATTATAAATCGTGAATTACGATTACCCAGTTTGCTGTTCCAGATATTTATGATCGACAAGAGAATAATAATATATTGTAAATATATAAAGTTTAGTTTGCAATATCTCGTTTATTATTATTATTATTACATTTATTATTATTTTATCTAATTATTTGAAAAAGGGTTACAGATTTTAAAGATTGAGAAATATAGTAGAAAAATGTTAATCTTTTAAATTCACAAAGTTTTTTTAGAGTTAATAAAAAGCCTTTTTTAACCCGAAAATTATTTATAACTGTTTATAACTCGAAAATTATTGGTATTTTGACATTTTCGCTGAGGAAAGATTGTCTCTAAATTGATCAGAGAATATATTATTAAAAGGTCCAATGGTTTTAAGATACCTTATATAAAATTGTTATATCGTCTTTTTTCTTGAACAATTACAGTTAGACTTATCCGATTTATTATGGTTATGTTTATTGACTTGGAACTTTTATAGATGTATCAAAGAGTCTCGTAAATCCTTGAGCGTACCAATAAATTTTTTTAATGCTTTTTTTTTAATGATGTTTATAACAGATTGGAATGGTTTTGCTGAGATCACAGTACGCTTTCTTATCATTGTACACTATATTTTTAATTGAACTGTAGAAGCAGCTCCTCTTGTTGATGGAGACAACTTTCTGAAAGTGGTTTCGAGTATAATGCATATGATAATTATATGCAATATTGCGATAATAAAATGCAAGCAACTTGTACGATTATATAGCGTGTGTTCTTTTTAAAATATTTATCCTTCAGTCTTGTTTTGCACTATTAGCGACTTCAGTTATAATTTGTCTTCACCAAACAAAAAATTTTCTTTGCTTTTCAAGTTCACGACATAAAAAAATTCAAGATTAATGCTTCGCTGATATATATTTGATCATTTATTTGACTCTGTTACTTTTTATATTTTTATATTAGAGAGTAAGGATTATTTAAAGATTATAGAAGAATTCTTTTTTTATTAAAAAATAGATAATTAAGCTTAAAAATTGTCAATTTAGAGAAAAAAGTTATTTTAACTTTAAATTTGTAATACAAATATTTCTTGATTAAAAAAATAAAATGTAGAAAATTATGACTTTTAATTATAATTTGACAAAAATCTGCTTTTTTGTTGAATTTTTAATTATGTTTACATATTTGTCGTCATTTTTTACATGAGAAAACATAACATTCGCATATTGGCGATTCGTTGCAACTATTCATGAAAAGAATCCATTCTCATGAGAGTCGTAACAATCATGTGAACGCTGTTTGTGAACAATATAACAGAGGCAAAAAAGTGCTTGATCCAGTTTCTATTAAATGCTGGCAAGATATGCGAAAGGACGGATGCAGCGCGAGAAAGTTAGCGAAACTTAGCAATGTCGCAAGAAAATTCGGGAATGATCGAAGAAAATATATATTCTGTAGATTTTAACCTCGTATTTTCTCTTTGCCGTATCCGAGATAGCACACTATGCTATATCATTTATAAATCCGATAATAAACATTGGAACTTAATATTTAACTATGCAAAATTATTCACAGAATAGCAGAAAAGAACAGAAAGAATTATAAAGTTTTTTAATATTTCTATTCTTGTAAATGAATTTAATTGAAATACATTTTTTTATTTTGTATCTGCAGAAAGATGAGAATTTAAAACTTTTTGGAAATTGATACCTATGTATTTTTAAACATGATATATAATTTTCTTTTAAAATATTTCAAGTTTATACTTTTGTCATTAAGTTTTATATGCGGAAAAGTAGGAAAGAATATGTATAGTATTCTAAATTTTATTAAGAAAAATTTATTAATTTTACATTTTATTAATTAAATCGAAGTAATAATAAAACGAGCAAGAACTTGCTTTCTTTTTCGATAGGCGAAAGTTAAATCTAATTAAATAAAATCTAATGTAATAATTGAATGAGCACATTACTTCCTCAACACATTATACAATATTTCATGTATAAGTACGCGTATGTACATGTATATATATTATACGAACATATTATAACGAACATACTATACATGATTGTAATCCGTTACGAGCCATAGACCATAAAATTGTTGAAGAGTAAATTAAGAAGCTTAACGAACATTAAAGAGAAGCCATGTAATTGCAGAACTCCTGAGAATAAGTTTTTTACATGCAATGCTGTAAACAGATAAAAAACTAATAATAAAAAAAAAGACAAAATTGAAGAAAAGATAAAATTTTCTTATTATTATGCTATGCTTATTCGTTAAAGCATAATTACACACGTAACTGAATTTTATTCACTAAATAACAATTTTAACTAACAAATATATTTTATTTCAGGAGCAAAGAGGAGAGACCATCCAGAATGGTTCTTACTGTGACAGAAGACACTCCAGCGGATATGCTGGCTGGAAGTATGGAGCTTCTGGTCCAACTACCTCGCGATCATCATCTTCATACACAGAGAGTTACAGTGTTAAGAAGGTACATTTACAAAAATATATGTTATGTAGTTACCCTCTTGTACATATGACGGTGTATATGCGCGCCTAACATCGGAAAAGTTAATGTAGAATTAGACAATTACTACTTAATACAAAATTATAATGCAATTATAAGTGAGATAAATAAATACATAAATCGATAAATAGATAGCCAGATAGATAGCAAGTAGAAAGAGAGAAAGAGAAGAAGAGAAGGAAGAGAAAGAGAAGAAGATAGAGGGA